CCCCAAAACCCCAAAACCCCAAAACCCCAAAACCCCAAAACCCCAAAACCCCAAAACCCCTTTCTTCAGCTACTAAATTGAAGAATTAGAATATTAGAAGGTGAGAGAGTAATGATAATCTGAGTCGTACTCCATCTTGACGTCTTCTCTCCTACCGCCCAGGTCTTCCTCCTGAGGGTCGAGTGAGTAGAACTTCGATGTAAGCCCATTGCTGATGTCCATGTGGATGTCAGAAGGGTGGCTGTCCAGGTTCATTTCATCGTCCTCCTCGTGGAACAAGAACGGCCTATCTCCGTCTAACCCTCGTGAAGCCTCGGGCTCGAAGGTGTGGCGCCGCTGCAAATGAGGGTCCTCGCTCAGGTCTGCATCATCAAACTGGTGAGGCTCTTTTTCTTCTTCGTCGTCTTCGAAGTTCTGCTCTTTGATGGTTTCGTTGATCGGAGGGCTTACCAAATCTATTTTAGGCTGGCTGTAGTCGATGTTCATGGAGTACTTTCTGTTTCAAGCTTTGGCTTTGAGGATGGGTTCTTGGCCAAAACAAGTGTCACCTACAGGAATCGAAAATACATTGTTCTCACTGTTGACTCGGCTCCTGCCAGGCAACGCCCTCCGAACTTTCTCGACCTTGAAAATGGCGAATTCGCTGTTGTTGTCGTCGGAGCAAACCGAAGATGACTTTCTGAAGTCGAGGCAGTAGCCAGTCTTGTTGCTGCTCGGACTGTTCTTGGTGTTTGTGGCTGAGGTTGAGATCCCTTCTCCTGAGCTCGGATGAGGCAACACTTTCTGAGCGTGAGAGCGAGCCTGAGTGCTCGTTCTGGTTCCGACGACTTTCTCGACTTTATTTCCAGTCTCGGCCATGAATTGCGATGGCTTGCATAAACAAGTCGTGTTCTTGCTTCGACCACCTACCGGTGTTGGCGGGCCTATTACCTTGGCTAGCTTTGGACTTGGAATGCTTCTTCTTGAGTTTCTTTGGTGGGCTGGCCAGTCCTTCATGCAGAACAAACTCTGGGTCAATGAGTTTTGAGGAAAAGGCAACTTTCTTGCCTGTAAATGAGTGACGAGCGGGCTGATTTGGCCTGTAGTCAGGGTCATTATCATCGTCTTTTTCAATGCTTGACATATTAACAAAAATTTAATTCTATTTTTGTTCTTACTTTAGGGGTTTTGGGGTTTTGGGGTTTTGGGGTTTTGGGGTTTTGGGG